CCTGCATTTAGGTTTACTTTTGACTAATTTCATGGCCAGGAAAACTAAGTTCTCAGGATGTTTTAACACTTATTGTGGCCCTTAAAGGAAATAAAGTTTCCTAGCTAAAAAAAAAAAAAAAAAAATTATATATATCAAATAGTACACTGAATAACAAAAATAATGGGGGTCACTCTAAAGAATAGTTTCCTTTGCCCTGGGTCCAGTGTACTCAAGCAAATAACCTAAACTTTCCATAAATTAAAAAGCTAGGGGATGAGGGCTAATTTGGTTGCACACAATGTTTGCAGCAAAATAATTTATTCAAATCCAAGCAAATTTTTCTTGCCTCTGTGCAATGCTCAATTTGTCAAACTGACATATTTTTTCCCCATTTGCTTTCTTCATACAAACTTTGGAACATCAAAGTGAAAACATTCATTTTTCCAAGGAAGTTGATAATAAATTTCCTTACTCATTTCCGTGAAGATGTGACCCAATTTTTCTTCCTAGAACCCCCTCCATCTCTTGCCTTTTCCTCCTACCAGTCAGTAATAATTTAAGGGTTAAAAATCAAGCAATATCTGCAAAAACTCTTTCCAGAGAATCATTATTCCATGCCTACGTGAACACTGCTAATGATCTATATTAGTTGCATAGAAAGCTTGGTTAAGTCTTCAATAAAATTAGTAGCATGCTCATGCATACATATTACTGCATTTACAGTTTTATAGGTAAAGTCTGTGAGCCTAACTGTAATTTCATTTCATGGGAAGTCATTCATAATCAGGCAGCTCCAATTTCAAATAATTCAATGGGAAATTGGTACTTAAAATTGGAATCTCTTCTGGCCATAAGCCCTAACAAGGAAACAAGCAGAGGAAACATGCATCAGTCATTCAAGACCTGGAGCAAATACTGCTCTAATTTATTTTTACTATTGGTAGCTACGTTTCTTTCATTGTGAGTCAAAAAAGCAGAATACACAAGCACTTTTCATTTTTTGAAGAGGTTATTACTTTCTATCTGTTCTATTTAATCTAATGTTGGCTTAGGCTCATTAGAGATCGCATGCTTCCTATTGAACCTCTGCCTAGCCACTGCATTTGTCAAATTAAATTAATAATTCAAAAACACAAAGGTTACTGTAAACAATTTAGTTTCCTTTTCTACATGTGATTTCCTACTGCGCTGTAAGCAATATAAAAAATTAATTTAAATCTAAAAGTCTTCAGAAACTATTAAATATTGACTCACTAATCCTTTGCCTCAGAATTTTATAATTGCTTGAAGAAAACTGATTAACCTGTAGGTTAATTTAAATTTTCAATTGCATTAAAGAACAAAAAAACTTTTATTTTACCAAAATTATACGTCCATGCAATTACAGTTTCTGTTAAAATGTGCAGATATTCAGGATTTTACCTTTTAACTAACATCTTGGGCCTATTTATGCAAACAATCTCAAAGACTTATGGGTTAAGTCTTGACTTTTTGCACTTTCTGTGATTTCTAAAGGAGTTCTGTCAATGCCAATTCTAAATGGGACCAAATTTGTGTCTGACTTTTAATTTTAGACTTACCTTTGTAAAATGTAGATACATTTTTTTTTCATATATACCAAATCCGTATTGTCAAAAACTTCCACGTGCACTTGAGCACACTTACACACACACACACAGAGTAAAATGTCACTAACAGCTGGAGTTTATGACAATTGTCATAGGTGAAGAGTTCCTTTATTCTACTGTTAGCAAGATACACATGTTTGATAAATGAGTAATTTCAACAGGTTTTAAAAGCATTTAGAAATCCATGCAAATAACTGATACACTGGTAACCTGTGATTCTAAACTATTTTTAAGGACATCTGCTAAGTTTACTCATTTTGAGAGTGTGCCTAAAAGTTCTAAAATTGTACTCTTTTAGAATATTCTATAATTTGAGCTATTCTATAATTAGGTCCTATTATATTGTTAGCTTATATATGACACACTTGCTCCTATTGCCTCTAACTATCGAAACTGTGGATGCTTTTTCTTTTTTCCTCTGTAAAGGACTATAAATATACATTGATTATGGATTGGCTGTATACATGCACACACACACACACACACACACACACACACACACACACACACACATCCTGCATCACATATTAATGGATCACACTCCTTTCCACTAAGAATTCTGTGTCAAGATAGGTCAAACTTGAAGCTGACTAGCCTTGACAGTATTTTCCTAGAAAGCTCTATAAATAATGTTTTATTTCAAGGCAAATGGCTGCCTTATAAAATATACATTTGTCCCTCTCATATTTTAAATCAGTTTTTATAAATCAATAAATGCCTCATAGGACATTCTGACCAGAGTCACTGTATCCGATCCTAGTAATGGAAGTTATGTGTTAATAACCATTTAAAAAAAATTGTATATTCTTATAGAATGATACTCTTCAACTGAAAATGTTGTTTGGTCAATTTTAAACATTTCATGTTGAAGCTGGGGACTATACTGTCCCAGTTTAGATTTAAAATTTATGCTCTCCAGACATTATGACGACAAACAATTAAATTTAAAAATGGGCACGGTGGCCACCTTTTGTGTACTTCCTTTGGCCTTCCTTGCTACTTGAACATAAAGTTCTTAGAGCAGCAGAAATTTATTTGCCTGCCTTCTAGGTAGGGGTTTACAGAGATAAAAAACTGACACAGAGGTTAGAAAATTAACTCTGCTTAAGACAAGTCTGGACAGCAATTTCTGATTGGAAGCTCCTGCTTTACCAGACACGAAGCACCGCGGATGCAGTGTGATTAAATATACTGTTCAGAAACGGGCTTCCTAGCAATGTTTGTTAAATCAGGTTAAGTAGGGATGCTGCTGTCCTGGATCTCTTCCAAAAGTGGCATCGAAAGCTTACTAAAGAATTTATTTAAGGAATCACACTCTGAACTTCACAAATACATATTTTTTAAATGATGTCTTATGAAAGAAAAAAGTGGTCTAAAACAGAAGTTGAAAGTATTTTCTCTGGTTACTACTGTCATATCTAACTGCACAATTATTATGGGATATAGCTTCATTTTTAATGCTTTTCTTCATATAGGGCCCAAACATTGCTTTTGATGCACAATAAAACTCTATATAACAACAAAAGATTAATATAACTTAAGTGTTCAGAATTTTCATTAAAATCTGAAATATGATTTTCTTGTATTTATATAGTCTCATAGACTCACTGAATCTATGTTATTTTAATACAAACACACATTTCTAAAAGGCATGGGTTTCATGTGGTAAATAAAATTCTACTTTTCCCTTCTATTTTTACTTTACATCCTATCGACCTTTAAAAATTAATTAATTATAACTATGGATAGAAAAATTCTGCCCACTGAATATATATTATTTAAAGACTTGTGAATGAAGTGAAGATTGTGTGTGTGGAAATTTTGCAATGTCAATTTACTGATTTTTTTACAATAGAAAACGGCATATGACAAAATCTTTGATATGTAGCCTACGTAAAATGTAACTGCCACTTCACTAAATAACTGATTGAATATTATGGGGCCTAATCTCCCCCTAATGCACTATAGAATTTCTTCTAAAAACTACTATGATGATAACATGAGTTATAGAACCTTATTTTTTGCATGTATCAGATACAAGGGTAAATCTGATTCTTTTAGGGTCCCTAAATCAGCAGCTTATATCACTGTTCCTTATGTTATATAAATTTATACTGCAAGAAGCTAGGTGAAATATTTTTCCAAGTGAGCAATTAACAAGCTTCATCACTGGTTGACAAATCCAGCCCACTGTCTGCTTTTGCAAATAAAGATCTAATGGAAGAAAGCCACGCACATCAGTTTATGCATTGCCCATGGCTGCTTTCCTGCTACAAGGGTAGGGCTGAACAGTTGGGACAGCAATAGTGTCACCACAAACCCTACAATATTTGCTACCTGCACTTTTACAGAAAAAACTGCCAATATGTCACTGGAATAAATAACTATATGGAATCCATTTTAAATATAGTATTTTGAAAACTCCAGAATCAAAAACTATAAACCCAGTTCACAATAGGCCAAACACATAGTTAATTTATCCATGTGAATTTATACAATGTGAATTGGGTCTTTTAGGAATAATGTTTAAAACTTCATGAAGCCATAGAAATCCATCAGAATTTCTCAGTTCTGCCTTAAATTATATACATATCTTAGAGCTGAACTGCTATATTTCAAAGTCAGAGATATTGTAATAAATAACAGTGGCTATTTTCTTCGAAAATTACCTTTCAAACTAACATAAAGAAAAGCCAACATAAAGAAATACTAACATAAATAAATGATTTGGTTAGACTAGTCCTGAATTATTTGTTCCCTAAGCAACATAAATAGAAGTGAGGATGTTTCATTTGCTGTGAAATGTTTCTTTTTAATTTTCCTACTCGGTGCTTTTTTTTTTTTAATATATATATCTAAATACAAACTGTTTGGTTAATGAAGAGAAACACCTGAACTCCTTTTATCGTGTTTATTTGTTATAAATAACACATTCTGAACCCAAATGAACTTACCATCATTTCAAGTGCGTATCGGTTATACAGCTTAGCAACACCCTTTGCAGGGCGCTGTCATTGTGTAAATAAGATGGACTGTTCAAGTGGAACGCTTTTTATTTTATCAATAAAAGTGAGACTTTTCAACGCCTTTATTATCATTTCACTGCTGGAGGTTGACTATCAACTGGTAAGCACATGGTTCAATAATCGATTCCAGAAACATCCGGAGCCTCACACACCTATCAGTATTCTCAGAGCCAACTAGTCACGGACAGAGGAAGTGATACAATCGCACTTGTTAATGTTGCATGCGACAGGCAGAGGCAGTCACTATTAGACCTGGTAAGACACATCTAGCGCTAGGTGGACTCTGGGGGAGATGCAGCGACAAGAAAGCGGCCCCGACTGACATGCTCCTATTCAGGCAGAGACAGAAAGGGAGTGGACGTACTGTAGAAGCTGGCCATTACGTAGTTTTGGCAACGATCACCAGTAAACTCATTGGGGCACCTGAGAGAAGAAACAAAAAAACAATGGTAGAAAAAACAGAGAAAAAGAGAAGAGGTGAATATATGCTAGAAAGAAGCTCCTTCAGTTTCATTTGACTGAACTTGGTGGGTTCACCCTCAGGAAACTGAGCCTCTGTTCCAATCACTGGCTTTCAGACTCTGGCATTTCATTGCCCCCGGGGCCCCCCTAAAAAATGGTTGGAGATTTGGATGGGATGCAGTCCTTAGGTTTGTAGGACAGAAGGGTTCCCAGCATTTTAAGTGACTGCTTTATTTCAAAGGGAGCCACTTAAAATGAAAGATGATCCATCTTGGTTTTTCCATTGGATAGCTTTGGTCGCAAACGTTGGAAGGAAAATATTTTTTAGCTGGTCTGCCTGCCATGATCGCCAACATCATGGGCCATGCTGACTGGTCCTTCCTGTAAATTGAGGACTTTGGAACCCATGTGGGGAGGAGGGTCAGTAAGGTCATACTGAATGGGCTCATGCCTGGAGTGGTGTCAAGCCATGATGGGAACAAAGGGAATCAGTGACGACTGAGCTGTAAAAGCACCAAGTTGTAGTGATTGTTGCTGTAGTTTGGGGGAGAAAGCGAATTTCAGATTATTTTAACATACTTTCTTGGGTTTGGATTTTCATGGGCACATTCTCAGTACATCTTGCTCCAGTGAATCCAGGTTGGCACCTAGAGGGCAAAAACGTGATAAGCAAAAAAAATGCTAAAGACACTGAACTTTCAGACTGGCAATTTTCCTCCTAGGGAACATGGAGATTCCTAAAAATGACCTGGTACTGAACAATGTGAAGAAAAGAAAAGACGAAACATTTAGAAAATCATGTCCCACGAAAACTGTGAGTTATAGATTTCTGTTGCTGTTGTTTGCTTCGGTCTTCAAATGATTAGTTAACTGAAATTTAACTGGAGTGAGATGGAAATGTCGAATAGGGGTGGCAAGGCCTGGACAGTTGTCATTTTCCCTAGGGCAAGACCATATTTGCCACTGATGACTGATTTCTGCTATGTCCAAACAGTGGTTTTGGTAAGAGCTTACATGGTTCCATCCCTATCTTTTATAGTTATATAATCTTACACTTTTTCTTTTCTATACCCCCAATTCTGTGCTTATTTGATAGGTATTTTATAAGTTACAAGTTAAATTGCCAAGCAATGGAAGTCAAGTACTTTCATACTCCAGTGATTACTGATAAGAAAAACTACATTCTCTGTTTTCTTTTAAAAAGATGTTACAAATTAACTCTCGTATTTAAATGTTGAAAGACAGTAGAAGCGGATTTTTCTTAGAACAAATTTCACTTAATTGAATTATACTAAATCAAAGGCAAATATATGTTTAAATTTAGAACAGTTATTCTTCTATGGAAGTATTTAATAGCTGTCATTTCACATTTAAGGGAAAACTATTTTGAAACTGCATAAAGTTTACATTTTATTCGCTCGCATATATTTACCTATCAAAATTCTAGAATATTAGTATAGTATTGTTCTTAAGGTTGTGCTGAAATATGGAAGTTCTTTATAATTTCTCTTTTTGTTGATGTTACTCTAGTAACCAAAGTATTTTAAATTGGATTCGTATTATCCAGTATCATGCTGTAATAAATACGGCCATTGAAAGGTTCTAGGAAGCAAATATACTTACAGATAGAAAAACCTTTATTTGAATGCCCAATACCCACAGTCATAATTATTATTAATAGTTCATCTATACAATAACCATCATGCAGAGCACCTAATATAATTTAGCACCGATAACACATACCTAGTGATTTTCATAAAACACTTTCTTCTGCAGAGTAAGAACACTATCTTTTTGATGTCTAAGGGGATATGAATAAAATTATTCATTTTTACTAATATAGGGGTGATTTCACTTCCCTTCAAGCCAAATTAACAAGTGATTTGGTATATATAATTCTCCTACTTCACAAAAATGGCATGAAAGATAAAATTCTAGCAGTTCCAGATTTTTTTCCTCATGAGTCCTTGTATAAACTTACAGTACAATTATAAGGACTGACAATATCAATAAACGTCAACAACAAACATCTTATATTGACATAGCCCTTTTGAACTCTTCAAAGCACTTTTATATAAATGAACTGATTATTTTTGTTTAGCATACTTTTGCTGCAGGGAATAGAGCAAGATCTAGCTAGAGAAATGTGTGAATAAGAACTATAACCTATGAGGTCTGGGTCTTTTCTCATAAAAATGTCATTCTACATGCTTCAACAAGAAAGCCTTTGCAGACATATAAGAAGAAAAAAATACACAGAAACTTTTTTCCATATAACTTATCTGACAAAATAATTTCTGAAGTAAATGGGGTTTTTATTTGTTTCTGAAACAGGACTATAAATTCATATAGACCTACCCTATAATTAAAGCAGGTAATTCTCAGGATTAAAGATATATTTTATAATGATCATTTTTCATCTTACCTGTTTGCATTCTTGATAACAATTACAATTATCATATCGAGCATACAATAATCCACTTGTTTCATATAAAGAACATGGTATAAGATATGTCAATACTCTGTATGTATGTATGAAACACACACACACACACACACACACCCTCACCTGAGGCAAGAAATGCCTTCATTCAAAGATCATGAAATTAACAAATAGCTAAAGGATTAAGAGATCCTTAAGAGAAGGAAAGTATTTATAAGGAAATTGTCATTTAGTCATTGTACAATCAGTTCTCAAATCACAGGCCACAGGACAACTAGGTAAAGGGAGTCAGAAATCTTACACGATCAATTTTCTAATTATTATTATGAGCTTCTAACACAATGTTTCCTAGGAAGCTAGCATAATGGGATGATAGTTTATCTCCATCATTAGATCATACAGAACATTTGGTCCACTAACACTAGAACAACTTGAGGTATGCAAAATGTTGGTTTTGGAATTATCAGCTATTTCTCAACCAGAACAATCCTTTTGCTAATATTTATCCTCACTGGGGTCATGAAGTTTCTTCATGTTATTTCCTATTGTTATGAAGCCCTATTTACTCAGGACCAATAGCATTAGCAATCTCCTAGGAGCTGCTGTTAGCAGAAAGGGAAAATCTCAGGCCCCAGCCCAGAACTATTGAATAAGAATCTTCATTTTAACAAGATACCCGAGAGATGTGTAGGAATATCAAAATTCACAGCATAAAGGACCCTGAACTAGCTAACGCCCTCTCTCCTGGCACTGCAGTATCTTGTTGTTTGGACGTGGACAGGCCATTGGGTTTACTGGAACTCATTTTCTGCAGTGACAAAAATGAAGGGATTTAACTAAGGGATTACCCAAAGATCTCTTTTCCCACTAAGGTTCTGGGAATCGATGCTCACCCTAACACATGGAATCACTGTTAGAAAACCCTGACGTCATTTCTTCTGAATGCATTATCAGTCGGGGACAATAAAACTCAAAGACTTCTAAAAAGCAGTTTTGATAAAATGGATTTTTAAGCCAATCCTAGAAGTAAAACAAATTGCAAATACGCAAGCCATTCAAGTGTTCAGCAACAAAAGGATGGTAACCTTCGTAGACATTTACATATGTTGCCAAATGAGACGCAAGAAAGACGTGGAAACTGCCTGATAGAGCATAAGCGAACTGCATGCTGCACCAACTGTGACGAGAACGCATATGCAAATGGAAACCCCTCTGATCTACAAGCCCTGATGAAGTTCTATGGAATTACTTCCAGCAGAATAGAGAGACTGGCTTCTGACTTATTTCTATTCTTTGCACTATATGGTAAGTATCCATCGATCACTTTCCTGGAAGATAAGAATATGGTACATTTAATCCAATTTTGAACAATATACTCTGGCATGAGTCTGAGCAAATTTCAAGATTTTAATTCTCAGAAGAGTGTCAGGATTTGAATAATAATCAAGCACCTATTGTAGCTTCAAAATACCATTTGTTTGACTGACCAGATTAGAAGATGGAAATCAGTGTTTTAGAAATTTTACTATTAGTATTCGCTCTCTCTCTTTTTTTTTTTTTTTTTAAAGAGATGGGTGTCTCACTATGTTGCCCAGGCTGAACCTGAACTTGAACTCCTGTTCTCAAGTCATCCTGCTGCCTTGGCCTCCCAAACTGCTGGGATTACAGGCATGAGCCACCGTACCCAGTTAGTCCTTGCTCTTACCATGATAAACAATCTTTGTTTGATATTTGTCTTAATGGCATGAAAGTTCACAGTTTCATCGGAACTTAGACATTTTTCCTTCCTGCCCTCAACCTTCCCATCACCCACATCCACACTCTGGGTGAGGATTCCGTCTTTGGCTCTGATATCACCCTATCCTGACCTCTTTCACTGTACATATCTGCGTCGTGACAATTGCTCTGTGAGGACAGTGGTCCTATTTTGATCACTTTGTCACTCTAATGCCTGGCACATTGCCTGCCTCATAAAAGCCTCTCACAAAATGTCTGTGAAACTGAACCTAAGATGAGATCAGACCACAGTGTCTGATAAAGAATACTATCAGAAGTGACTGTCATACAGTCAACTGATTTGCCCAGTACAGGTCAATCTTGAACATCTGTCCGTTATTTTTATAGTTTATGATAGACTCTCCTCTGTGGACTCCCAAATAATTTTTTATAGGAACTCCCATTATCCTTTTTTGCAGATTCCCTTTACAAATAAAATCTCTTAATATCATATTTGCAGTTCAGAAAAGACTCTATGATTCTTTGGTGATAAGAATCCTGTTATCTCAAATTTAAATCCTGTAACTGAAATACTAGCTCACTGAGGATTCAATAAAGCAGTGCATTCTACTAACCAAGACTTCTGCTCAGCACCAGTAAAATAAAAACTGTCAGTAAATAACCTTAATTCACTGTCAATATCTTCATATACTTATGATAGAATTAATCATAGATGCATGTTTTTTGAGAATCCATTTTGTGCTTGGTGTATTCTCTTAGATTCTAATTGTACAAATTGTTTCCCATTTCTTGGTGGAGATTCTAGACATAATAAAAGATATTCACAGACCCCAAGAGACTTTCGGTTATTTCGTGTTGGCTAATTTTATAAACCCTTTATCATGTATGGTCAATTGATAAACCATCCTTAGACATCCTTTCTCTTCCTTTCTTTATTTCTTTGCATCAAGCCTTCATTTAATGATCAGGCAGGAGAAAGGGGGAAAAATCCATAGCGGATACTGTCTCTCTTTAGTCATCACTCTACAGAGAAACATTTGGACAATTTTTAAAACATCTTGTCTACAAAAAGAAAAGAGTCTCTATTGTCTGTTCTTTCTCAATAGTAGTTGTGGTATTTCCTTCTCTACAGCATTTGAAATTATTTGATTAGTGTCTATGTCCACAAATACCAAATGGTAGCAATGTCCACACACGTGTACTGAGGAATACTGGTGGGTCTAAGGGTCAGACACGAAGGCCTTTTGCTCTCACTCCGGGTAAACTCGAGGTGGCAGTGTCTACACCAGCTCCAACAGTGCCACTGTGTTTTCCTACAGCATCTTATGGCAAACACTGACTTTTCTCACCTCCTAGCCTGCTAAGTGCGTGCACTGGCCAGAACTCGCCCACTCACTGGCTGGGTGTCTGCGTTGTAGATTATTCTCTCCCAAATGTACTGTTACTATTAGTCTGCATTTTTCCGAGATGGACCTCATTCTGTTATCTACCTTTAGGTGAAATTTCTTGAGGTTCGTATATGCTTTTCTAATTTGCGTTTGGTGTTCTTTATAGTATCATCTGCAAAAGACATTTATTTCCTCAGGGGAAGGCCCTCTTTAACATCATTAAAGAAAATATTAAATATAAAATGT